AGGCCGGGTAGATTGTCCAGCCAGGGAGCGTGGCGAGTGCGCCGATCGATAGCGCACTAATGAGCCGTGACGCTGTGTTTCAACATGTGTGAATCCTGCGATAAGCCGCACGCGGCATATATCGACGTCATGGTACATAAAACGGAGCAGAAGGTTCTATCTTATATATCTACTCTTTAATGACCTCTATGAAAAAATGGCTCGAATGCAATCGTCAGCTTCATCGTGCTGTCCGACTCTATGAGGTAAATATACGAAAATTGATGCAAGATAGATTACGCAATTTCTTACCCATATATACCTATAATCTATTACTTAGCCAAACCACTGTATTGTGAAACAAAAACTACAAATAATTAAATGCTATCACGACTTCTCAGACCCGTAAAAAAATCGTGTCCTCTTGATTATCAACTTTCATTATTCAGAATATACATAGGACATCATTGTGGTATTCTCAGTTGAATACGCAACTGCTTATCTACTAATGGATGTTATTGGAATCGGGTACGATTTCATCAATCAATCAATGTAAATTGCGTAGCTATTTTGTTTTATTAGATGAAAGTAAGCAAATGTGGAGTAGCATCCCTAATATGAAATACTGAGATTCCTTAATTTGTTCCTAGTAAGGAGGAAATTTTGACTTTTTAATGATTCCAGCAAATCCATGATATGATAGGATTTGCTTTTTTCTTTTATTTTTTCTACAAAAAAAATGTGGATTAAGGAATTTTGATATTCCATAAAACCTCTAATTAATGTATAAATAATAGTAGAGTTTTTCTTATCTCTAAGATATAAGCCATTGTATGTGCCATTGTGTGTCACATACAATGGCTTATATCTTAGACACACTGGCTTATGTCAGGTTATACAAATTAGTCAAATTGCTCCAACTGATTTTAGACCTTTATGTGTAGACAGTCGTGTGTAGTCTCACATACAGGAACATAAATCTTATCAACTGTCAAGTCATAAAGTATATAAGGTAATAGATTGACATTAATTATATAGAATAAAACTGACACTAACGGTCGGTTTCTGAATTGAAAAAGTACAAAATCTATGGTTTAATATATTTAATTAGCCCATAAGAATTGAAAATTCATTTACATGCGTCACATATTAATTAATTTTAAATAATACACATAGTTGGCTAGCATTTTCCTTTATACAGAGACTGCTTGACGACAAGGTCGCAAGTTTAGCACTTACTTTAATCGATTATTTCACTTTTGAAGTTAAGAATAGGTTCGCAAATGGCTTGGAAGGTCAAGTGTTGGAAGTTCCTCGTCTGCCTCGTACTGTGCCCTACAAACTTTAAATTATCTCAACTGATTTTTTGCAATAACTTAAGTCTCTTTACTTTCCACAAGGGAAAAAATCCTATACTCCATTTACTGCATTAGACAAAAGTTAAATAAGGTTCTTTCGAGGGTAAACTTTGCAACCAAACATCAATTATCTTTTTACTGTTCAATTTGATGCCTTCTTTACTTTAATTTGATATAAATTTATTTATCAGTTGTCATAAGTAACTGTTATCGCTTTAGCGATCTATCATATAAAAATATAAGTATTTGGATACAATAAATGATATACTATCTATTGAAATAAAAAGTATCTATCTTTAAGAGTCTAAAGAAGCAGGGGTGGATAGTTTCGGCACGTTTCTTATTTCACTATAACTCTACCGATTCTAAAATGTTGCCTTAAAAACGGTAACGTACCGTAGTACAGTTTTTTTTTTAATTTTGTTAAATTATGATATATTCTTATTTGTCAAAAACAAAATCTGTGATTGTAACGTTAACAATAAATGCTACTTTTTGTTGTTTTTTGAATTTTCCGTGATTAAATTGTTAATAGTTGTGTTGTGATAGGTTATTGAAATAAATTGTCTTTTTACTTATAAAATGTTAATATTGTTTTCTAAGAAATTGAAATTAAATTAACTGATTTGTTTATCTAATATAAGGTTGTTCATCCTGTTAATTCTGCATGTTTATTAAAGTAATAATTATATACTGTATTAAAGGAAATAATAGTTAATTAAAATAATAGTTAATTGACATTTCTATGATTTTAAGTCGTTAATGTATCAAAGATATACAGAAAGTGCCAGCCCCATTTAACACCTGTGTGCGAGAAGAAGGGAAATTTTCTGACTCTGTGAGTATAATATTGAACAATATCAGACTACCTAGAGTCTGATATTGTTCAATATTAATATTTAGTTTTTAACAATACTATTACATTTTTTTTTATTTGTCTTGAAAAAAAAATGTTTTGTACTCCTGCTTCTATAATCGTCTTTTTTCTAATGTTATAATAAATGGAGTATAGTTTTTATCAAATATATCAACTGATCATTAAAAAAAGTAAAATCAGAAACGAAAAGAGGAACAGTTTCAGACGTGCTTAACTTTAAATACTCAATTCAGAAACCGGGTGTTGTACTCGTAAATATAGTCAAGAGAAGTAATTACTTGAGAAAATGCCATAACTTAAGTAGATATTTTTAAACCCATAGACGAGAATTTGCGTGAAATAAGAACTGTTAATAACTCGTAATAATAGTATACTTGCTATTTACAGTTCTTGCTAGTTAGTTAAGTTATTACTTTTACTTAAGTAATTACATTCACCCCACTATAGATCTCATATCTACCTATATAAGAAGTATGTGTAAGAAGATTGTTGCAAAAGTCGTGTACTATTGGAAAATTAGTCCAAAAGCTACTCATCTCACCTTTATATAACTATTCCGCTTTCGACGTAACACTTTTCGCCAGAGTTGTGAGTTTTTACTATTCTTCTCGTACTGCATATAATCGATCACAAGCAAATATGTTACTTTGTAAATAACCTTTTATAGTGTAACAATTCATTTAAGCAGTATATTCAACCTCCAATGAGTCAGAAATAAATTGCATACAACGTTCAAATTCATATCAGGTCATAAAATCATCAATAGCAAGAATCCATCACCTGCCGGCAGCTGATCGCATTGGTTTAAACTTGAAACTCCGTCAATAAACTATGGACAGATTTTACGGTAGCATGCATGGTATTGCCGTATTTTAACATCAAATTTTCAAATTCAGAACATTCATTAGAGCTTAAAACCTTTATGGACGTTTCATTATGACGTCTTCATTAAACCTTTATGGACGTTTATACAACTGTGTGTGAGATTGTCAATTTCAATGCATTGATACATATCAATGCATTTAAATTGACAACATTGTCATAGCAGTACCAACTGTTACTACTATTTACTATTACTACTACTATTTACTATAATAATTGATTACTGCATTAGTTACACTGCATTAGTTTTTAAGTATGATTTGATTAAACCTCTTTGGCGTGACACCACTACATTTGACAACGTGTTCAAAGCTATATTTTAGCAGGTTAGCATAGTAGATCAATGTGTGTCTAATGCCCTTACAGGAAAAAAGTAATTAAATCATTATTTGTATAAATATTATTCTTAAAGTCCTTAAATTTAAATGCCATAATACATATGCTCTGTAACATGGATTAATTCTTGAGAATCATGACCTATTTATTAAACGAAATACCTTTCATTTCCTAGCTATACAATTACACATAGTACAATGTTAAGGATAACAATGCCTTTGTGTCGTTTATACCCTAATACCCTGTGGGCTTGATACTTATTAGTTATTACCTTTAAAATACCAATGTTAAACAGTTTACGGACCAATTACTTGTCTATTGTTCCCTCGAAAATATTTTGCGTTTCAGAATTAATTGCTCCTAACAATTTGGTAGTTAGTTTATATTCTGTGTGGATACGTGAGTACAATGGTAGTGTGCGAGTTTCTAGTCACGATTACACCGGGTTTTGTAATCAGTTATCGGTCCGTTTTCATTGAGACCCGTTGTTCCCGGTTTATCTCGGGAGATCTGGTGATATTTCTCGGGCGGTCGGCGCGGTGGCGTCTACACTTCCCCTCCTAGCGGCACCGCATTACTCAGCCGATATCTGATGTCGCCTGCTAATTGACTAGAAATACAGATAAATGCTATTTTTATAGCACCTAAAACTGTCTTCGAAGATTTGTAACGTAGCTCACTTGGAACAAGTTGAAATAGAATTTCTTCTGTTACGTTTTTGGATGGAAAATTAGAGGACTATGTCAAATTGCTAATTATAAATTAAATTTTTATTTAGATTATAACCTAAGAGTGCTTGTAGTAATAGGATGATACTTATATTACAATATTTAAAGTATTGTATTGAGCCGAAAAAAATAATGTACCTATATTATATGTCATTCATAAAGTTATATATTATATAGGTTATATATTATAAGGTTTGCGCAGTATATGAATAAAATAGAAAAATAACCTTAGACATGCCAATAACTTATTCTGTAATACAATAACAAACTTTGAATACAGGCCCAGTACTCTGTAATCGGTTTCTCTAAAATCGATTCTGTGATTGTATTTATTTATATTCTTAATATATATTTTATATTCACCGAAAAACAGTTAAGTTACACACAGTTTAAATAAAGAAACTTTGTTTAAAATCAGAAGATAAGGCAACGTTGCCTACTTCTTTCAAGTAATTAAGCAAATATTAGTAAAGTACAAAGGGAGTCTTTAAAATATTGATATTCTTCTCACGACTTTAAAAGACACTTCTTGAATTTGTTAACCATCTTTCTAGTCAATTATTATATTTCAGAAATAAATCTACCAAACTCTAAAGGATTTGGATACTTTAAAAAATATTCTATATTGATTTTCCAGTAAATACATATAGATATTCAAAAGTTATTTATCTACTTGAAGAGAGGGCTGACAAATAAAAAATCTGTATCCAAAGGCAAATTTATTCATGGTCCAACGTATACTCAATGAACGGACCCTTTCAATGTAAAATTTCGCAATATAGTTACTTATATGTTACAATATTTACAAACGGATACACAATAATTGAACAACGAGGGCGGTTAACTACCGGCGAAAAAAGCGAGCGCGGTTACTGTGAGAACGAGATGTGGGAGGGCGAGCGCTACGCCCAAGAGTGCACCCGCCCCGGCTGCAGCCCGCGCCCGCGCGCTGCCACCCGCCTCGCCCCTGCATGCGGCCCCTGCGCTTGCTGCACTCGCCAAACTGCGACCGCGCACCTTCAAAGGCGATATACAATAGTTCTCTTCAGCGAAGTCCGGCGTTAACGCGAGTGGATTAGCTAGAGGATCACGGCCACATTCGCAAGGTAAATGATTTCCACTAATCACAACATCATCTACTTCCAAGATCACCGCCTCTGGCGACTCCAACATATGGTTGCCGGTTAATTTGAAACTGCGAACACTGTTATTTTGCACCAATGCCAGTTCTTCCACTGCATCAATCTTGTTATTACAAATCTCTAATACATCGACTCTTTGCAGGCCATCAAACGCACCCACTCGAATTACGCCCAAATCTGATTCACGCAACGCTAATCGACCTACGCGTGTCAAACCACGGAAAGTGTCTTGCAAAAGTGCTGGCAAATCCATGTAAGCCAGTTCTAGTGTACCGATTCCTTCAAGTCCAGCGAACGCTTGCGGTTCTATAGATCTAATTCCAGAGGGTAGTTCGATCTGTACGACATCATTTAATCCTGAAAACGCATGTGCCAATATTCGCTTGATAGGGTTGTTGCGTAAAGAAACAAGTTTTATGTAATTAGTGCCTGCAAAAGCGTAAGCCTCGATCTGTGCTATTCTATTATGGCTTAGCACAATTGAAGTTATGTTCTGAAGTGCAGCAAACGCAAATGCATCGACCGTAGCAAGAGGAGTATGCTGTATGTAGAGTTCACGAAGACGCGGAAGGCCACGGAAGGCAAAAGGGCGAATCTTAGTAAGATTGCAGGCATCCAACGCCAGACGGCGCAGCTGACGTAGGTGAGCAAATGCGTCAGAACGTAATACACGAAGATCCGCCCGAGACAAGGACAACTGCGTCACTGTTGGACTCAATGCTGACGGTACACCGCGCAGTGAAGCACTGTTACACACCACCTGCAACAATGACAGACATGTATATATAAAATATGAAAATCATTAAACATTTTACATTAGATGAAAGAATTTGAAACAAAAACCAAAGAAACAAAGTTAGAAACTTCACCTCTTTATATTTATTAGTATAGATTTACACCACTATCCAATTGTACCTCAATTTATAATGATTATCATATTAATCTTAAATTTAATAGGTAATAATCAAAAGAGTCGCTATATCACTAGATGCATCTGTTTTATTATAATATCAGTAAAATTGATTATCACCACAACATGACGTATCCGAGGGCACACAAATTCACATTTATATAATGATTGAATTATTTCAAGCTTAAGCATCGAAAATCGTCAACCTACACATTTATCATAGTTGTATTTATCAGCAATAACACAGAACATCACTGTATTCGCTTCAATTCAATTTTGTATCCAATTGACATGTTCAATAAATGGCTATGCATTCTGATGTTTAATTTATTTAACTATTGGTTTCAGCTTAATATAATTAACTTATAGTCGACATACACTCCTCGACATAATTCATTCCCTCTTAATAGTTCAGAATAAAAACTATTTTAAAAATCAAATGCGCTGTTGATTTTTAAAATAGTTTTTATTACTAGCAAGAACTGTAAATAGCAATCCGTAATCAAATCCTTATTCAGATTGTATAGCATCCCTTGAATCTCAAAATAATTCTAAACTTATAATAATGAATTAATTTTTTTTTATTTTCAATACAAATAAATTAAGCAAATGATAAGTAAATTAAGCAATCGATTTCTTTTTTAATTTTCAAGCACACATGTAGAACTTAATTTACCTTGAATTTTTTTATAAATAAAATTTTTAAAATCAAATTGAGAATTCAAAAGATTAGCGAGAAAAGTCCTTTGTTATTATTAGTTTAATATAATTTTAAATTAAGCAAAACCTTTAAATGCTTGCAGGTAGGGTTACTTTTCTGAATTGTAAAGCAATACGGGTGTAGACAGGAAACGAAAATAAATACATATTGTTCGTTTTTGTTTCTGGCAGTATTTCATATACTATTAGCGATGATCACACCTGTCAAGTTTATCATATTTAACAAGTTTTATGCTCGTTGTCACGTGACCGCAAACAGCACGCGACGTCATGCCCCCCTTACTCATATTATCAAAACTTAGACAATTCAACCTTATGTATAGGTACACAGAACGATATTTGTTTCAAAGTGCCGTGACGTCATAGTGACACCATGACAGAAGCGACTTTTTAGATGGAAAGTTTGAAAATTGAATTAACATTTAGATTTTGAATTATTATATGAATGTATTTTTTTTAATATTTTTATAGATATATTACATGTATATCTAAATAAAAATAATAAAAGTTTTCTACACCCCTATTGTAAAAAACTACTATAATTATTTTTATATCGCGAACTTTCTGTCTCTGTCGACAACAGACTCTGTGTGAAAATAAATTATTGGTATTTGTCTTTGTTAAATACATATCGCCCATGAAGAGTCAATAAATAATAACTGACATTTTGTCAATTTTTGTTTTATTGAATTATTCGTTGTAAAATAGATTACTACACAATAGTGACAAAGATTTTGGGTTCGTTTCTTATTTTTTTGTAAGATAAACAATAATTGCAATGTACTGAAAAAACAATAGAATAGATTTGAAACGTTTTTTTCGTCTCCTTTCGTTTCGTTGCATTTTTGCAGTTATTATTTATTGACTCTTCATAGACGATATAGATAACTATTCGTTCTTTGTTCTATAACACTATGTCCACTGTTTAGATTGGATCTACCAATAATGTATAAAATTACGTAAAATAATAAAATGTTTGGCAATATTGATGCAAAGTATTATTATGTTGAAATAACGCGAAGTATAATATTTTCTATATATTTATTTTTTCCAATTATTACGAAATATTTATATATAACATATTTATCAATGAAGTAAGTTTTTTATTTATATGAATATCAGAAGTAAAACTATAAGATTCTTATAAGTCCTTAGTACATTCTTAATCATCATCATCAGCCCTTTTACGTCCCCACTACAGGGGCTCAGGCCTTCCTTATGGATGGTTAAGGAGGGTGGGCCACGACCCTCCTCACGACACTGGACCAATGCGGCTTGGAGGGTATTAACGGCTGCAAATGCAGCCGGGACCAACGGCATAACATGCCTTCCGAAGTACGGAGTAGCTCGAGATAATATATTTTTTTGGTCACCCATCCCATGACCGACCCTTGCGAAAGTTGCTTAACAACAACGATCGCGGGCCGGGGCTCTTATCCACTACGCCACTGAGCTACTCATTACTATTCTTAATATAAACTGTAGGGACACATATGCCTACATGTACATGTACAGTTTAGTTTGTAAGATGTTTATAAACAATTTGTTAGCGTCTGTAGAACAAAGACTTTTTAACTAGTCGCTAATATACGGAGTTACAGAGTGAACGTGTTTTCTTATTTAACCTTCTGATAACATAAATAGGGTCCGACACTTAATACCCTAAAGTGGTGACCGGTGTTATGAACATTACGTTTTTAGTTGTTTTGAACATTTTATTTAATTAACATTTATATCACTTTTTTTTATTTTTTTATTAAAAAGTGCAGTATAAACAATGAATCCACAAAATGAAAGTTCTCAAGCGCGTGTTTCGGAACACAACCCCGAAGTTAAGCCAGAGACTTCATCATCTTTGAACTCCATCACCATTTCATCGAGAGTTCCTGATTTTTGGGCAGACCAACCGCGACTCTGGTTTGTCCAATTTGAAGCTGTCATCCAGTCACAGAAACTATCGGACGCCGCTAAACAAAATTTAGTGGTTACTAAATTAAGTAAGGCTGCGATTACACAGGTGAGCGATTTATTATTATCACCACCAAGTGAGCACAAGTACCAGACCCTCAAAGATAGACTACTGCATGTATTTGAGGAGTCGGAGACGAGGCAATTCCAGAAGCTTCTTGGTGAAATGGAGCTTGGCAGTCAAAAGCCTTCGCAGCTCTTACGGCGCATGAAAGATCTAGCCCGTGGGAAAATACCAGACGCGACATTAACAATCATGTGGAATAGCCACTTGCCACCACCAGTGCAAGCTGTGTTGGCCGTTACACAGGAGACAGATATAACAAATCTGGCTATAGTGGCTGATAAGGTCATGGAGGCCACTGGGCATTCCAATATAGCTGTAGTATCAACCAGCAGCAACTCCTCAGAGCGTGAGTCAAAAGTTACATGTTCGGAGCAATCCGACCTGGCGGCGTTGGTAGCACGTCTCAGCATAGAAGTGGCGGAGTTAAAGCGCTCTCGGCAAGCGGATCGTGGTAGACCGTTCAGGGGTAGGAACTTCAGTACTGGAAAAAGATTCAGTCGAGCACCGTCACAAAGTCGAGAGAGAGAGAATTCCAAAAACCGACGAAATCCTAATTGGCTTTGTTTCTACCATTATCGGTACGGAGATAAGGCCGTAAAGTGCATTGAGCCCTGTAATTGGCGGAAGCCCAAGCCACAAGAGCCAGCGGAAAACTAAGTGCGATACGGCCGGAGGCGGAGGTTGGTATCGGGTTATCGAATAACCGCCTATGTGTTAAAGACAAAAAAAGTGGACTGAAATTCTTAATTGACACAGGTGCGAACGTTTCGGTTATTCCGGCATCGAAAAAGTGCGTTTCCGATTACAGTGCGAGTGATAAATACAAACTATATGCAGCTAACGGAACCGAGATAAAAACTTATGGTATGCGTACTTTAATTTTAGATTTTAATTTAAGGAGAGCATTTAAATGGAATTTTATCGTAGCGAATGTTAAACAGCCGATAATAGGAGCGGATTTTTTAAGCCATTATCAGCTGTTAGTCGACATGAGCGCGCGCAAGTTAGTAGATCAAATTACACATTTAAATGTTCTCGCCTCTGTTGTAAGTCATAACGAATGTGAATTATCTATTAAAACTGTTTTAGGTAATAGTAATTGGCATGATTTATTGCTTTGTTACCCGGACATAACGAAAATAGTATCGTACAAAGAGACACCTAAACACTCTGTGTGTCATTATATAGAAACTACGGGCCCACCGGTATACGCTAAAGCCAGACCTCTCCCGCCTGACCGTTATAGGAAAGTTAAGGAGGAGTTTAGCCACATGTTGGAATTAGGCATTTGTAGGCCATCTAAAAGCGAATGGGCCAGTCCATTACATGTGGTACCAAAGAAAAATGGTGATATTCGGCCTTGCGGTGATTACAGAAAATTAAATGCCATAACAAAACCGGATCGCTATCCGATTCCGAGACTGCATGATTTTAAATATTTATTAGCGGGAAATAAAACTATTTTTACGCGGTTAGATTTAATTCGTTCTTATCATTTCGTACCGGTTGCCCCGGAGGATATTGAAAAAACTGCCATTATAACGCCCTTTGGACTGTTTGAATTTCCGCGCATGATCTTCGGATTACGTAACGCAGCTCAAACATTCCAGCGTTTCATGGATACCGTAGTACTACAAGGGTTAGACTTTTTATTCAGTTATATCGATGATCTTATTATCGCGAGCGAAAATGAAAGTCAACACAAAGAGCATTTAAAGGCAGTTTTCGAAAGATTTGATAAATATGGAATAACTATTAATCTATCTAAATGTGTTTTTGGTCAGCCAACACTTGAGTTTTTGGGATTTGAAGTGTCTACGAGGGTGCGCGACCACTTCAAGATAAAGTACAGGCTATTGTAAATTTCCCGAAACCCGAGACAGTCGATCAACTACGCCGTTTTCTCGGTATGTTAAATTTTTATCGTGCACACATTCCAAACGCCGTTCAATATCAATTCGAATTGAATAAATATTTGCACAATACAAAAAAACGCGATAAAACTTTGATTGTGTGGACTGATAAGGCTGTCGAAGCATTTAAGAAGTGTAAGGAAAGCTTGCAAAGCGCCGCTACACTGTCTTATCCTTTACCAGATGCTAATTTAGCGCTGATGACCGATGCCTCGGATACTAGTGTAGGTGCTGTATTACAACAGAAAAATAACAACAATTGGCAACCATTAGGGTATTTTTCAAAAAAACTTTCACAAGCTGAAACGAAATATTCTACTTATGATAGGGAATTGTTAGCAGTATTTATGGCTATCAAATATTTTAAAAATTTAGTGGAAGGCCGTGTACTGACTATTTACACTGACCATAAGCCTCTCGTTTTTGCATTTTCAAAATTAAATAACGACAAAGAAAGCCCTAGAAGAATTCGTCAATTATCTTACATTAGTGAGTTTACCACCGATATTCGTCATATCAGCGGTGAGCAAAATGTAGTCGCAGATACACTTTCGCGGATAGAAACGATCAGTTGTCCTACATTACTCGATTTTAGAGAAATAGCTGAGCAACAACTTAGTGACGAATACCTACAGCAAGCGTTGCAAGCAACAGATAGTAAATTACAATTTAAACAAATATTATTGCCAGACTGCGAAAAATATATTTATTGCGAAATTTCA